AATGCTCTATCCACTGAGCAAAACGGGCTAGGGCAGTAATCATTACTTTAAAAAATTTTTATTGAATTTATTGGAGTGACATTGGTCAATAAAATTATCATTACTTTTTTTTATCACAGCACATAATACTCATCTCAGAGAACTTGTCATTCCATATAGACTATGATATCCTTATCAGGGATCATGTTTTTATTTAACTTGTTATTTCCAGAACATAGCACAATTTGTGCCTGACACAAAACAGGGACACAATAAATTAAATAGTTAAATGAAAACATAGGAAATATCCAAAAAGTAATCCTTAAGTTTTAAAAGTTACTGCAGGATTTAGAATTATAATTCCAGTTAGGGTCCATATATTTTTATTGATTTTAGAGAGAGGAAGGGAAAGGGATATGAGAGAGAGAAACATCGATGAGAGAGAAACATCAATGGGCTGCCTCCTGCACACCCCCTACTAGAGATCGAGCCCACAACCTGGGCATGTGCCCTGACCCGGAACTGAATCATGACCTACTGGTTCATAGATCGATGCTCAACCACTGAGCCATGCTGGCTGAGCAGGGTTCATATATTTTTAAATCTAATACCAATAGCATTCTATTTTGGTACAAGCATATGGTAAGTTGAGATAACTGGTTTAAATGGATTTAACTTAGTCTAAGGAAAAAAACTAGAGCAGACCAAAAGTAAACAAAATCAAGGCACATCCATACAACACAACATTATACAGCTATTGTTATAATTTAAATCTACACGAATGGATACATGTCAGGAATAAGCCCTAAACACTACTCTCTGATGCTTAGAAATATAATGGTTAATAAATGTTTGAATTTCAGGTATATTGTAATATTAACCAAAAGATTATAATTACTATTGAGTAATTTATTTAGGGCAACTTGAAAAGAATTTTGATAATTGAAATAATCACTAACTCTTAGCTTTTCTATCTTCCAAGTGATTAGTTAACAAGGACAATTAACTGAAATATTATTATTAACATAGTTTGTATGGTAGTTTCCCCAAGACAGATAAACACTATCCTGTTTGATTTTTCACCAGCAGTGTTTTCTAGGGTACATCCTTAAGTCATTTAACCAGAAATATGGCTCTCTAGGTATGACACCAAAAGAACAACTGGAAAAATAAAATATTAATTGGACTTCATCAAAATTAAAAATGTGCTTCAAAAGACATCATCAAGAAAATGAAAAGATAACATGCAGGAAGGGGAAAATGTTTGCAAATCATTTTTAACGATCATTATAATTATCAATCAAAAGGTCACAGAAGGTACTTTTTACTAGAAGGTATAAGGAACTCCAACAATTCAATGAAAAGACAAAAGATCCAACTTAAAAATGGGCAAAGGATTTAAACAGACATTTCTCAAAAAACATAAATGACCAAAGATGCTCAGCATCAGCCATCGGGAAAATGAAAATCAAAATGATCATGAGATACTACTTAACAGACACGAAGATGGCTATAAAAAATAAGACAGATAACAAATGCTGGTAAGGATGTGGAGAAATTGGAATCACTGCATACTGCTAGTGGGAATGTAAAATGATGTAGCCACTTTGGAAAAGAGACTGGCAGTTCCTCAAAAAAGTAAACACAGAGTTACCATATGATTTGACTCTTAGGTATACACCCAAGAGAAATTAAAACACATGTCCACACAAATCCTGTACATGAATATTCATTAATTATTCATATGAGCCAAGAAGTACAAACAACTTACATGTCCATCAACTGATAAATTGATAAAATACCCATGCAATGGAATATTATCTATATGATAGAGGCCCAGTACATGAATTTGTGCACAGATGGGGTCGGGCTGGCCTGGCCCTAATCGGGGCAGATTGGGACCGGGGCTGTCAGGAGGAGGAGACGGTAGGAAGTTGGCCAGCCAGCCCGTCCCAGTTGGGGCCTAATCAGGTCCGGGAGGCTTGGGGGAGGGGGCGATTGACCGGCAGGCCCCGTCCACAATTGGGGTGGGGGAGCAGGTTTGGGGTGAGGCTGACTGTGGGCAGGGGCTGTGGGCTGGCAGGCCCCACCCCCGAATGGGGCAATTGGGTCCCTATTAGGGTGGGGGGCAATCAGGGGTTGGGCCAGCCAGGGGTAGGAGCTACAGGCCAATTGGGGTGGTGGGGACCCATTGGGGGCAGGGCCGGCCAGGGGGAGGGGCTGCAGCAGGTTGGCCACCAACCCTGGCCCCTATTGGGTTGGGAGGGGTGATCAGGCGTGGGGCCGGCTGGGGGGAGGGGCCATGAGCCGGTTCTCTGGCTGCAGTGGGTGTTCATAATGACCAGTCATTCCGGTGTTCCAGTCGCTGGCTTTTTATATACATAGATATAAAAGCCTAAGTGACCATCCGAGTGGTCGCTACGATGCGCACTGACCACCCAGGGGCAGATGCTCAACACAGGAGCTGCTGAGCTGTGGTCCTCAGACTACTACAAAAAATCCAAGAGGAAGGAACACTTCCAAGCTCATTCTATGAAGCCAGCATCACCCTAATGCCAAAACCAGGTAAAGACAACACAATGAAAGAGCATTACAGGCCAATATCCCTCATGAACATAGATGCCAAAATCCTCAACAAAATCTTAGCAAATCGGATCCAGCAGTACATCAGAAAGATCATACACCATGACCAAGTAGGATTTATCCCAGGGATGCAAGGATGGTACAATATCCAAAAATCAATAAACATGATACATCACATAAACTGAAAGAATAAAACCACATAGTCATATCAATTGATGCAGAAAAAGCAATTGACAAAATCCAACACCCATTTTTGATAAAAACTATCAGCAAGGTGGGAATAGAAGGATCATACCTCAACATAATAAAAGCCATATATGACAAACCCACAGCCAACATCATACTCAATGGACAAAAACTAACACCATTTCCCCTAAGAACAGGAACAAGACAGGGATGCCCACTCTCACCACTCCTGTTGGATATAGTACTGGAAGTATTAGCCATTGCTATTAGACAAGAAGAAGAAATAAAAGGCATCAAAATTGGAAAAGAAGAAGTAAAACTGTCCTTATTTGTAGATGACATATTATACATAAAAACTCCATTAAAAAACTATTAGACTTAATAAATAAATTCGGCAATGTAGCAGGATAGAAAATTAACGCCAAGAAATCTATGGCATTTCTATACACCAATAGTGAACTTACAGAAAGACAGACTAAAAAAACAAACCCATTTACCATCG